TGTAGACTGCAGGCACACCTTCGTTTTGCCTTTCCCTTCTCCAAGTGGATCCAAGAAGAGGGTTTTCTTCTCATGGGGGTACATTACCTTTTATTATTCACATGGAAACACAACATGCATTAGGCAGGAACCATACATTACGCAGGTACGATGTAGGGTATTGTTTAGATTTGATCAATAATAAGTGACAGCATGTATGTGTGGCCCGGTTATCTTGCAAATCACTAATTATATATGGTGTATACAGCACTATAGATACAGATTGGAGCTTAAAATATGCTCCTATTCTCACCACCAACATCCAATGATGGTTCTCGTTCACAATTCCCACGATGACTGTGTGCCATTGGATCAACCTGAGAGTAGTTGCACAAGTATTACATTCCTGTTGAAAAATGCACATTTGCAACATTTACAAAAGCAAAGTTATTCCAATCATGTACATACCCGGATTCTTCCAAATGTGTGTTTCCAGATGGCGGTCATAGCGTAGCTGTCAATAACAGCTGCTTGACCGTCATTGCGCTGGTTGATTTTTCTGGGTATGGTTCTAGGACTGGTACCAATAAATGGAGCAAGTTTCATGAATGTGACACTTTTATTTTGTAAGATAGCAAGGGGGGGCATATTGTGATGGCCAGGCCTGTCATATAATGCCCCCCCCCACCAAAAGAGGTTTCTATGAATCCCACCCTCAAGCATTTTTCAGGGTATGGTTCTAGGACTGGTACCAATAAATGGAGCAAGTTTCATGAATGTGACACTTTTATTTTGTAAGATAGCAAGGGGGGGCATATTGTGATGGCCAGGCCTGTCATATAATGCCCCCCCCACCAAAAGAGGTTTATATGAATCCCACCCTCAAGCATTTTTCAGGGTATGGTTCTAGGACTGGTACCAATAAATGGAGCAAGTTTCATGAATGTGACACTTTTATTTTGTAAGATAGCAAGGGGGGGCATATTGTGATGGCCAGGCCTGTCATATAATGCCCCCCCCACCAAAAGAGGTTTATATGAATCCCACCCTCAAGCATTTTTCAGGGTATGGTTCTAGGACTGGTACCAATAAATGGAGCAAGTTTCATGAATGTGACACTTTTATTTTGTAAGATAGCAAGGGGGGGCATATTGTGATGGCCAGGCCTGTCATATAATGCCCCCCCCACCAAAAGAGGTTTCTATGAATCCCACCCTCAAGCATTTTTCAGGGTATGGTTCTAGGACTGGTACCAATAAATGGAGCAAGTTTCATGAATGTGACACTTTTATTTTGTAAGATAGCAAGGGGGGGCATATTGTGATGGCCAGGCCTGTCATATAATTCCCCCCCCCACCAAAAGAGGTTTCTATGAATCCCACCGTCAAGCATTTTTCAGGGTATGGTTCTAGGACTGGTACCAATAAATGGAGCAAGTTTCATGAATGTGACACTTTTATGTTGTAAGATAGCAAGGGGGGGCATATTGTGATGGCCAGGCCTGTCATAAAATTCCCCCCCACCAAAAGAGGTTTCTATGAATCCCACCCTCAAGCATTTTTCAGGGTATGGTTCTAGGACTGGTACCAATAAATGGAGCAAGTTTCATGAATGTGACACTTTTATGTTGTAAGATAGCAAGGGGGGGCATATTGTGATGGCCAGGCCTGTCATAAAATGCCCCCCCACCAAAAGAGGTTTCTATGAATCCCACCGTCAAGCATTTTTCAGGGTATGGTTCTAGGACTGGTACCAATAAATGGAGCAAGTTTCATGAATGTGACACTTTTATGTTGTAAGATAGCAAGGGGGGGCATATTGTGATGGCCAGGCCTGTCATAAAATGCCCCCCCACCAAAAGAGGTTTCTATGAATCCCACCCTCAAGCATTTTTCAGGGTATGGTTCTAGGACTAGTACCAATAAATGGAGCAAGTTTCATGAATGTGACACTTTTATTTTTGTAAGATAGCAAGGGGGGGCATATTGTGATGGCCAGGCCTGTCATAAAATGCCCCCCCCCCACCAAAAGAGGTTTCTGTGAATCCCACCCTCAAGCATTTTTCAGGGTATGGTTCTAGGACTGGTACCAATAAATGGAGCAAGTTTCATGAATGTGACACTTTTATTTTGTAAGATAGCAAGGGGGGGCATATTGTGATGGCCAGGCCTGTCATATAATTCCCCCCCCCACCAAAAGAGGTTTCTATGAATCCCACCCTCAAGCATTTTTCAGGGTATGGTTCTAGGACTGGTACCAATAAATGGAGCAAGTTTCATGAATGTGACACTTTTATTTTGTAAGATAGCAAGGGGGGGCATATTGTGATGGCCAGGCCTGTCATATAATGCCCCCCCCACCAAAAGAGGTTTCTATGAATCCCACCCTCAAGCATTTTTCAGGGTATGGTTCTAGGACTGGTACCAATAAATGGAGCAAGTTTCATGAATGTCACACTTTTATTTTGTACGCATAGCATATATGCTGACAAAGACTATGTAACATTTGTAAACATATTTTGATTATTAGATGACAACTATGTAAAATTAAACAATACATTTTAAAGCACGTTTATACAGACAGGACGTAACAATAATGATAAAAAAAAACATTTTAAAAAACAAACTGAAAAGGAAGTGACGAACGAATTTCGACACCTCAAATACGGAGCGAAAAGTTAAACCAGAAGAATCAAGACTATGAGCTACCACTAAACAACTCACAGTCTGAAAATTACCATTAATAAAAACCCTGAACGTTTACTTTTCGTTTTAAACATCGTTTTAAGGTGTAAACCTATGGTGTTAACGTGTCATTTAGAGGTGAAACGTGTCATTTAGAAATGCGCGTTCCCGTGACAAGGGGGGCATTTCATGACGGGGAGGCATAATGTGACACAACACCGGTACCGCATCCGCCACCCCATCCGCCACCGCAAACACCCGTTGCGAGTCTCCGGCTGTAACAGAACACTACCGCCTGCGAGGACCAAGGTCCGATTCCGGCCTGAGGTCCAAAACTTTTATTTAAAAATAATAATAATCTCCCGTTCATCGCGTCCATTCGCGACCCACCTATCACATCTCTGCGCCCCACACTTTGAGAAACGCTGCATTACAGCAAGAATCCCCCTCACACACATAGGTGAAACACATGCACATTCCCTACTGAGAACCTTTCAGTAAAATGTTTTCAGGAGTGTGTGTGTGTGTGTGTGTGTGTGTAAGGTTTTCAGTAGTGAATGTGAGAGTATTTCAGTATTATGTGTGTGAGGTTAATTTTCAGATGCGTGTGTGAGGTTTAATTTTCAGTTGTGTATGCGAGGTGTTTAGTAGTGAATGCGAGAGTATTTCAGTTGTGTGTGTGTGAGGTTTAATTTTCAGTTGTGTGTGTGAGGTGTTCACTAGTGAATGTGAGAGAATAGTGTGTGGGTAGTGCTGCGTACCGGTACGCCGAACCGGTACTGGACTTGTAAAAAGTTTTGGTTCAAGTCCGGTTAAAACCGGAACGTCAGGAACCGGTACTTGGACTCGCAAAAAAACTAGCACTTACGTATATTCTCCTTTTTGTTCTAAACCATCTAAAAACCTTCCATAGATCGAGAAATTTGCGCTGAGAAAAGACGAAAAACATCGTGTCGGCTTCTGATATGGCGGCCATTACTGAAGTCTCGCAAAATATCGCAACTGCTCGCGAGATCTGTGTGACGTCAAGGGAAGCTAGCGATGTGATTGGCTTAGACATAGTGTCTTGAGTCTTGACAGTCCACAGTCTCCTCACTGTCCGAGTGACATAGATGATAGATGCTTAAGTTAACTATGTATGACATTTGTATCAAAATGGTATGTATGTATGTACATCACTATGTATGTAGTATGTACTGTATAGAGTTGTAGAAAAGACATGGTGTACAGACAGTACAGTACACTCTGACTGTACAGTCACTACAGTGTATACTGTATAGTAGGTGTGTAACAGTGTAATGCGTATAGTCTACTCTACACTCTACCTTTCAGCAACGTTTTAGGGATTTAGGCTCAGTCAGCTCAGGGACTGTTTGGTTACTTTAGTTTGGTAAATGAAATAAATGTTTGAACTTTGTAGTAGTTCACTGTAGTTGCTGTCATAAGACATTTGTAGACTCAGTGGCAAAACGTTTTTTTTTTACATTTGTACTTTGTAGAGAAATGTAGACACAAGTTGGAAGGGAGCACAATAAACCTGACGAGTTTGCATTTGAGTTGATTATGAGTTAATTTTCAATTGATAATTAGCTCACAATAAGTTCACTTTAGTTACTCACACAACTTGACACAAGCCATGGGTTCAGGTCCGGACTTATAAGTCCGGACCTGAACCTCTGGACTTGAGTCCGGACCTGAACCTGAATGTGAGTCCAGGTACGCAGCACTATGCGTGGGTGAGGTTAATTTTCAGTTGTGTGTGCGAGAGTATTTCAGTAGTGTGTGTGCAAGGCCAGATGTTTTCAGTAGTCTGTGTGTGAGGTTAGTTAGAAATATGGCCTACACGGCCCCTCATAGTTTTCTCTTCAGGATGAATTATAGAATTATAATACCTTTGGTGATTCTCTTGACTCTGACACACACACACACACACACACACACACACACACACACACACACACACACACACACACACACACACACACACACACACACACACACACACACACACACACACACACACACACTATGCAAATAAGTCGTATTGACTCAGAGGGAAGGGAAAATGTCTCCACACGGTGGATTCAGGAATGCAAGAGTATTCTCCATTTCAGTTGTCTCTGTCATCTGTGTTGTCTGTGTGAGCTTTGGAGGTTCTAGTCTTTGGATTCTATTATATTTTTATTTATGCTTCTTGGTGTTAGTTCTAGTTTCATTTCAGTGTAGTTTCAAAATAAATTCTGAGAAGCTTGATAAATACGGCAGTATTTCTTCTCCTGTCTATATTTCATCCTGCATCTCTCTGTTTTCTTTCCTTCTGACATCTCCCTCTGTTAGTGTGACCCAGCTGCTGGAGCGGATCAGTGAAGTGTTGGAGCAGAACCACCTCTTCATGTCAGACCGGCCTGGTTTGTGTCAGGAGCTTGAGAGACTGCAGCAGCACCTGGAGAGTCTCAGATCCAGCCCTTTACCTCCGGACAGCAGCCTCAACAGCAGCCAGGGTTAGATAAACAGCCATGTTCTACCTAGTCTGTGATGCATATTCCAGTGTCCTGTCAATGTGATCCTCATAGGCCCCAACATGACATCTCTGCTGAAATGTTTCGCTTGGAAAAAAAACTAAAAAATATCAACAAAGAAGTATTTTTTCAGCAATTTGTGTTTTCTTTCTGTGTGGGGATGCAGGCTTCACTCTGGCCAGTGTGTTGGTGAATCCGTCAGGTTTTCAGCAGTTCCTGGTCAGGAACCTTTCCCTGTCCAGCTCCACAGCCAGCCTGCTGCTCAACACTCCAGTCAGCCTCCCAGAGGTGATCACTGTCACTTTACCTAGTATATATATATATATATAGCCAACGGCATGTCTTGTTTCCAGGTTTGTTTGATATGAAATACAGTATGTATCATATACATATGTGTTGTGATTTATTGTTGAGTGTTTAAATACAAACACACACACACACACACACACACACACACACACACACACACACACACACACCACACACACACACACACACACACACACACACACACACCACACACACACACACACACACACACACACACACACACACACACACACACACACACTCAGTAGTCTGCAGCCAGTCCTCATGTAAAGCTGATCAGAATAGTGACTTGCAATATAACATATTATTTTCATAGAGATTTTTGGATTACAGGTTATAATTTATTGTAATGAATGCAGTCAATTCTTTGTCTCAAACATAGCGTAACCATGTCATGTGATAAATGTTATTGGTTATTGAAAAAACTTTCATCTGTGACATACAACTGAACATTAAGCTTACTGCATAAACAATACACACCGTGTGTGTGTGTGTGTGTGTGTGTGTGTGTGTGTGTGTGTGTGTGTGTCCTGCAGGTGCACAGTCTTATCTTTGGTACATCTCTCAGAGGGGCCCAACAATGGATTCACAGGGCAAAAGACACCAGACAAAAACCTGAACACAAAGTTCATCACCTTGAGGTTGGTTCACACAACAAGACACACACACACACACACACACACACACACACACACACACACACACACACACACACACACACACACACATGCACACACACACACACACACACACACACACACACACACACACACACACACACACACACACACACACACACACACACACACACACACACACACACACACACACACACAGTGTGAAGACCAAAGTCTAGTTCATGGCAGTGGTGATTCTACTAGGAACAAATTGTAGCAGCCATGGTGACTTCATTGAGGTCATGAAAATAATAATAATATTCTTAGCTGAGATTGTATTATTGTATTATTCTTATTCCTAAGCATACTCCAAATGCCAATGAAACAACTTTGTTAAAGTAATTATAATGGTGGATCTTAGGAAAGGGAAAGATAGGACATCATCATGAACAACTGGATTAAACATCCAGATGTTACCTTACCTTAGCCAACCTGCAAATCAAGCTCGTCGATCAGAGTGAGCAGAGTGTCGATCAGAGCTGCGTCGAGCAGAGCTGCGTCGAGCAGAGCGTCGATCAGAGCGAGCAGAGTGCTTTTACTCATCCGCCTCACGGAGCGTGGCAAGTGAGGGGCAGGGCTGCCTCTCTTCCGCTGGTGTGGAAAGGAGGATTTGCACCGACGGCATTGCGGAGTGGCCTGAACGTTCTCCCCGTCTCGGGCTGGGGCCTGTTTCTGCCTGTTTTGCACTGCTGTAGCGGAGGCCTGCTTCCACCTATCGTGTGCTGCGGTGCTGAGGAGGTTTTACCCCGGGGACTGCTATGATGGTTAGTCAGCAGTGTTGGGTGTAACGCGTTACAAAAGTAACGGAGTTATAGTAATATATTACTTTTTGCTGTAACGAAGTAATGTAACGCATTACTAATGAAATGTGGGTAATATATTACCCGTTACAATGCTCAGTAACACAGTTACAACACATTTCAACCCGAAATGGTGTTTTGTTTTTTAAGAATGTACTAACATAGCGAGACATTCCGACACCAGACAAATTGTGCGGGTAGATTAGTAAACCTGGTGTTTACCCTTCAGGCGTCGGGATCTTCGGGCAGTTGAATGTTATGCACCCTCTATTCAAAAAAGAGAACGGAGCAAAAAATACAAACAACAAATGGTGTCAGGTGCGCGTGACCTGCTCCGCTGTGCGTGCATCATTCCAAAGTGCTTCCACAGCAGTGACACACATCTGTGGATAATCATTTATACGAACATGGTTAAAGCAACCATCACTAAACGCCAGCAACACTGCATCTACTGCAGACAGTAGCAACAGGTCAGATGGGGACATCACGTGACCCTCCGTTGTGGACACTAGCTTGTGGACATCATAGCCTGACGCCGCCCTCGCCCCCGGAGCAGCAGTCTTCGTCGCCGAAACTACGCCGCCCCTCTGCGGCCTTCAGGTGCCAGGATACCACGGCAAAACAGAGCCTGCCCAGGTATATCTAAACAAGTACCCGCCTGTACAGTGGGGTTAGGCGGTCATCTTGCAGCTCGTGGTATACAAATAGACAAGGGCTAGAATATTAATGTAAAATAGTGCCATATTCTGCCATGCCTGTAGAAATGTTGGGTCAAACATAATGCATACAATAGCACAGATGCCTTCACCACGAATGGCTACAGAAAGATCTCATATCCCAAGCTTATCAACAAACTAATGTTGCAGCTGAAATGTTCTCCAGGTCACAAAGTCAACCTCACATGATGATGTGATCCAGTTCTCAAGCACAGTAAATATTCTCTTCCCAGAGGATATGATGGGACCAAGGTGATGATGTAGTACATGGTTTTAATAATACTTTTGCTTTTCAATGTTTGCCATTTCAAACCATGAGCTGGTTCAAATCATATTTGCCTTGATTTACAATATGTTCTCATTTGTTTTATCAGTACAGCTTTGAAGCTGTTGTGCTTTTCTTTGCCATAGTCCACTTTGGACTATATGAGATATTTCAGGATTGCACTTTTAACTCACTTGAAATGTTCTCACTTGCTTGGTTTCAAAACATAACAAATGCCATAATCTGTTCATTGGGGACCATCAATGCTATTTTTCATTGCTGTTGCCGGCCACTATTGCTCATGTAAACCTGCTACTGCTGGGCCCCCTGTAACCTCAGAGGCACCCTGAGTCATTCTGTTCTGGAGCCGGGCCTGTACACGGCCATATACTAAACACACTACAGAGCCCATTCCGTTTCCTGTTATTGTTTACTTCCTGTCTGCCTTCTTCTGGTGATTTATCTGACGTCCAGCGCTCCGTCTTTTAACCTCTTTTCCTTTCTCTTTCTGGATCCTCCTTAGCAACCTTCATCATAGTCCTTGACAGTGGTCTGTACTGCTGTATTAACAACGTGTCACATGTTAAGAATTTACAATCAGAATCGAGTATTCAACCAAGCCGTTAGGGGTGTAACGGTTCACAAACATTTCAATTCGGTACGTACCTCGGTTTTTAGGTTTCGGTTCGGTACAGCAGAAAAAATTATCACAAAACATAAAATATATATATTTTTTTATTATTATTAAACTGTGAATAATGTATTCACTCAAATAAATACAAAATATAATAAAATAAACATTAAGGTGCAGCATTTCGATGAACTGAAAATAATCTGTATTTGAACTGTACTAGCACCTAAGCAGCCAGTTTGACATTATGACTTGCTTGTCATTGTATTTTCATGTTGTTTTAAAGAAAGATGAACTTGTCCACATTGCTTGCTGAAAGGGCAGATCTGCTGGCACTAACAATGTCTCCTGCTGTGGAGAACACCCTCTCGCTATCAGATACAGCCAGGTAGCGCTTTGCTAACATGGCAACATAAGGATACTTGGCGTTTGTAATAGCTTTGGCTCGGTCTGAACTCTCTGCGAGTGGTGGAGGCTTACATGCTAGTGGGAGTTGGGTTTGCACTTCAGTCTTTTTTCTTTTGGTACCGGTGATATTCACGTTCGGTGATGCCTTTTCAAATGAGTGTGCAAGTTTGATGTATTGCCAGCCGTGTAACCAATGTTAGTTGAACAATGCCGACAAACAGCTTTGGTTCGGTCCACCTGTCTTTGTCCGTCATCCTTGTACGTAACTGCGAAACCAAAATGTTCCCAAACCGGAGACTTCAATGATGCTGGAGGATTTTCGAGCTCAACTTTATCTGCGTTCGCCATTTCGACAGTTCCTCAAATTACTGACTACATTTGAACGCATCCCTGTGACCAGCTCTCATAGTATGCCTCTCGTCCAATGAAATGACTTGCTCGATCTATGACGCGTTGAACCCAATGTGAGCAAATTACTCTGAATGCTGCGACGCAGCTCCTGAGATTACTTCCAAAAAGTTGTTCACGTTCTCAATTTTTTACGTTTAACGTTATATTCGTTCGGTACACTTCGGTACACACGTGTACCGAACCGAAGGGCCCGTACCGAATACGTTTTTAGTAGCCTTAAGGGCCTACACAGTTGTTATGCTATACCACATCGCCCTTCACTGGATGTATAATGAGCTGCACTAAACTACATTTTAGCATTTAAAATACCTAGCCATTCTTTTGCGGTTATTTTGGTGAAAGTAACTAAAAAGTAGTGTAACTCATTACATTTCAGAGACAGTAATATTGCAATGTAATTTATTACTTTCAAAAGACAGTAATAAGTAATATGTAATATATTACATTTTGGAAGTAACTTGCCCAACACTGTTCTTCAGGACTGCTTCTTGAGCTCAAATCACACTTTCGCAGACTTTGCTGGTGATTTTAAAGTAGATGACAATTTATGTATGTCGATTAAGAGGAAAAGATATCTGGTTTTCTTGTTATTATTGCTATCAGGAAATGTACAACCTAACCCTGGTCCGCCCAGTAATAGTCAGATTGCTACTCCTGCTGATTTTAAATCTAGGTCTGGGTTTGGATTCATCCACTTAAATGCGCACAGTCTTTTACCTAAACTAGATTTTGTCTGCATGCATTTGGGCGAGCTCGACTGACAGTGATGTCATTGTCTAATCAGAGACGTGGCTAAATAAATCTATTTTGGCCTCTGACATTGCCTTAAATGGTTACAATGTATATTGTACCGACCGACTTAATAAAGGTGGTGGCGTTGCCATTTATGTGAAGAATAAGTTTAGTGTAACCACATTGGTTTCCAAATCAATTAGTAAGCAATTACAATTTTTAACCTTAAATATCGAAGTGGCAAAGGGTCAACAGGTCATGGTGGTGGGCTGTTACAGGCCCCCCTCACCTTGTCTTCATTGGCAAAACTTTTATCTCAACTTGACTACAAGGAAATAGTGCTACTTGGAGATTTTAACTGGGACTGGTTAACTACAGTGTCAGAGGATTTTAAAAACCTTCGTATCTCTTTGAATGTTACTCAGATTGTTGACAGTCCTACTCGCCCAAATATTAAGTCCCCAAATAAATCCTCCCTAATTGATCTCATTTTAACTAATGTTCCCTATAAATACTCATCTGTGGGAGTATTTGCTAATGATTTGAGTGATCACTGTGTTGGAGCCACAATCAGGGACACTAAGGTCCAAAAGGTTAAACCTCGCATTATCACAAAGAGAGACAAAAAACATTTTGTGGAGCAGGGTTTTGTGCATGATCTGTTTGGTTTTGATTGGGGAAAAATCGATCTGTGTGCTGATGTAGAAACTGCATGGTCTTGTTTTTATCTTGGTTTTATGGAAATTATTGATAGACATGCACCGCTGCGTACATTTAGAGCAGGGGTTCTCAAAGTTTTGATGAGTGAGGGCCAATTTAGGTACCCAATATTGGATTGAGGACCGCCCAAGAAAAAACGGAACACAAAATAATTCCAAAACAAATCCTTTCTTTATTGTACTAACCAATTACCGCAACTCGCGAGATGCCTAGTTGCCATGCAACCAGTAGTCTAGCAAACTTTCCACAAGCTGTCATTCATAATTTAGGAATGACAACCC